GGGGGGGGGGGAGAGGCTAGAAAGAGAAATACGTTCATCCAACATATCCCAGCAATATAAATGGGTGCCACGTAAACAAACGTGCGTGCTCACACATAGTTCACGAGCGCGAGCCGGTTGAAAGTATAAAACGCTACATTGATCCGCAGGTATTCCCCGCGCATTGAGAAAAGAAATTACAGGTAAAGAGGAAGAAAAAAAGTCAAATATCGGGGTTACGCAGATTTTGCAGTTGAAATTGTAATTTCGACTCGAATGAAACGTATTCCGAATCGGTCCGATGCATTTAACCCGGAATTAACCCCGAAAGGGTTAGAACGGGGAGACGAATTACGGCCGTATTTTCACGATTACAAATCGAGGGCCCCCTTCCGAGGGGGGAGGAGGGGCCAACCAAATTCCTCGCTAACGACGCGTAGCGCATTAGAGCGGACATAGGAAGCGTAAGTTGCTGCGGAGGAGAGAGCGTTCGTCTGAATAAAATGAATGGCAGGATACTTCCTTGCGGGCCTTGGCGCGACGGCGCCGACGGCGCCGGGAATCGTTCCTTATCAAGCGAAGGTGCCTGAGTGTCTAGCCAAGTAGCTCGTCCCGCATCTCGGCCAAGTGAGATCCTATACTTCCCATTCGTAAACCCCCTCTCTCTCTCTTTCTCTTTCTGCCTGTCCGTCTGTCCGTTCGTTCGTCCGTCGGCTCGAGCGCGTCGAGCGGGGAAACGCCGCGGCGGCTTACTGAATTAATTAAGCCACTCGCAGCTCGCGCGATTACACTGGAACATTGACATAAATATGGTACGCGGCCGAAGGAAATTCGTTCGTGACGGAAAGAAGGGGGAAGAGAGAGAGAGAGAGAGAGAGAGAGAGGCACAGAAGGGAGTCGTGCTCGCTCTCGCGCGAGTTCGATTTGACATTTAATTGCTCGGCCAATGGCAATTGCACTCGGCGGCGGGGAATAAAATACGATATCGCAAAGTGCGGATTTCGAACGCAATTAATTGCAGCCGCGAGGGTTGTAATTTCAGTCATCTCATCCACTTACCGCGGCCGCCCCTGATTGTATTCTCGTGTCTCGATGCGAATAAAATGGCACGGATAAGCGGGCACATAAAGAGAGATACGCGGTATCAACTCGTCCGTGAGAAAACCGAAGGGGAGAGCGAGGAGAGGGATGCGTCCGGACGACGGTGGGAATAAGGAAAAGAAAGAAAACAATTCGGACGTGAGTGACTTCGTAATTACGCAAGATGTTTCTCTCTGTCCGCCCGCGAGCTCCGCCATTTCCTTCCATCGGATGTAAATGCAATGTCCGAGATCGCTTAACGAGGCGGCGCTTAACAAGCCGTCGTAATTTAACGAAATCTCGGTTTACGCAGCTTCTCGGCCGAATATTCTCCCGAATAAACGCCGGGACCTCCGCCGAGAACACGAGATGAGCGCTGTCGCCGGACGATTCGCAATATCCTTCTTTTTTATCGCGAGGGAAATCGCCGCGCGTACAATGCGAGAGGGTGCATTTGTCGGCAGGGCCCGGGGAATTTTCTGAGATAGAAAAATTCATGTCCCGCAAATAGCTGAAACGCATAAAAGTGATCTTACGGTTGCGAGACGCACGTTATTCGCGTTCCGGGCGAACGATGCCTGGAAAATGCCAGCGAATTAAGCGAATCGGAGGGATTCGATCGACGCGGACAAATTAAATAGCGATGTCCAATTGAATCGCGCATTCGTCGCAGCGGCGGGAATTTGTATCGACAAGCGGATGGAAATGCGCGCGTCCCGGGTTAATGAAAAACGCGAATAATGCGACCGCTTGTTGCTTCCGTGAACTGCAGAATACCGGACGTTTGGTATACGCGGCGCAACTGCTCTCGGCGGCCCGAGTTACCGCGGTTGTGCGTAATTCGTATGGATTTGCGAGCGTTCGCAATTAAAAATCGCCCACGGTTACGTCGTCGTCCCGCTAATTCTTCGTCCCGGTGTGAAACAAGACGCGTTCTGTATCGCGCGACATTTGTCCGGCGATTCGTGGCATTTTCCACGAAAGTCGGCCGAACTGTCGCGCCTGTTCGCAGGGGACGGGATTACAATGTTCGCACGCTGGATGACGCGAGAAAAAAAGAGAGAGAAAATAGGAGGGTGAAATTACAACACGATGTGGACAAAGGGCTCGTTGCGGCCGTCGGATTCGCGCGATTGCCATTCACAGAAAAAGAGAAAGGGAGCGAGCGAGCGAGCGAGAGAGAAAGGGGTGTCTTTACATCCCCCGCGAAAGGTCGATCCCGACTCGCTCGCGGAAGGTTATAGACCTTGCCGTTTCATTATTAACGCGATGTATATCGATTTTGTCTGCCTGCCTCCGTAAACTCGTTTCTATTCTCGCGGTTACCGCAGATACGCGCTGAGACGGCCAGACCTCCTCTTTCTACCTTTCACCTCCCCCTCTGAATTTCCTCCTTTCAGGCCGTCGCCGATTTCGTCCCGGGACACCCCGAGAACGGGGCTCCCGGTTAATTAATCACCTCGTCGCGCCGCGGTGACGAATATTCGACCGGCAGGTTTCCGCATCTCCGAACAATCTTTCTCCCCTCTCCCGACGAGCGTGGTGAGAATGTTCGCCGAAGTAACGAGAGAGAAAGAGAGAGACGGGGACGCGGGAAAAATGCGCTTTTCACGAGGCGGCCGGTCGGACGAGCTGTCGAAGCGGACCGTTTCGAACGGTTTTATCGCAAACAGATGCGGGACGATCTTCTCTCCATTGGGCTTCGGAATGCGTTCTTGCGAGGGAAGTCTATTATACTCGCTTTCGTCCGACACTTCTTAGCCCGTGGCGACCGTAAGCTTCCGCTAAAAATACGTGTATCTCTGAGACAAGCGAGAAGAGAACTGTTCGCGATGTGTTAACACACGCACGCACACACACGTGATTTCGCTCCTCCTCTTTCTCTTTACTAAATTAGATTTTTGTCAAGCGGTTTATCAAGTTAATGGACGCAGATCGTCGTCTGATTAAAATCGCCTGCTCCTCGGCCATTACATAAGCCGTTTATTTTCAAAGCAACCGCGACGTTCTGACTTTAGGAGATCTTCGAAGCCGATTTTTCCGCACTTATTCTGCTTCACGAGTGTACGCGTCCGCATTTCGTCTCTTTTCTCTTTAGCCGAACTGGTTCATGAAATTTACGCGCACGTGAACATTTCATACGTATCGGTGTGCATGTAAATTTCTTGAGCCGGTTCAATTAAAAAGAGCAGGCCGATATAATTACGCTCGGGCACGAGGCAGAACTGACACTCGTTCCAAGACAGCTCATCACTTTCCCGGGCTGGCACGACGCATCAGAATCATGCGACGATGAGTTAGGAGTTCTTAACATTAATTCCTCAATTTCCAAACAATGATTCCTCGAGCTTACCCGATGGCACGACCATCCCGAGAGCGACTCGACGGCGATGAAGTGAAAAAAGCCACTGATTTTCACGCTCGCGCGCCTCGACGAACAGTCGAAGAGAGAGGAGCGCGACGATCTCCTCGCACCGAATTCGGATTAACGTGGAGATCTTGATCACATCCGACGGGAGTCTGAAATCGCGCTGGAAACGACTGTCGGGAGGTAAAAGAGTGCTCGACGCTCGCGGGGCACTCGAATCCGCGCGCGAACGAACGAACGGCGAGCGAGGGTCGTCGCCGTTTGGCCGGGAAGACCGACCACCCCGATGTATATCCTTCTCTTTGATGCCACGTGCTGAAGTCAACGGGTAAGAGAGCGAGAGGGAAACCGGGCGCGAGTACCACGTCGGCGCGTCGCGACGCCTCCTCCGTCGACGCGCGCAATCGACGCTTCCGGGGTGCCGGGCGACCTTACGGCAATCGTTTGCTCGCTATTTAATCGCTGGATCTCTCTCGCAACGCTTCTCGATCGCGTTCCTGTCGATATTCGCTTGGAACAACAATGAAAGAAGAAAGAATCGCCGACGTCGCGTCATAAATCGGTATTTGAGGAAAGGAGGAAGGGAAGAGAAAATTTCCTCCTCCTCCTCTCTCTCTCTCTCTTTCGCGAGAGAAAGATATCACGTCTCCGTTTTCCGCTTTCATTTCCATTTCGCGACGTTGATTGTTCTCGCGTCTCACGATATCGGCGCCGCAAATGGCTCATTAAGGCACGTTGTCGCGGGGACTTCCCACGTTTTCATTGAATTGTTATATTTATCCGCTATTTTCGTACGAGCAACGCGAAATACCGAGCGGCATTCACCGTGTCGTTCGCGTATTTCGCTGTGCGATACGCGCGGACCGATAATGATAATTATCATTCGTCGCCGCCGGCGTCATATCGAGTGTAAAGGGTTAATCCAGCGGTTATTGGATTACTGCTGCCACGTATCAACATACGTCTGGAGGCGTCGAGGGGAAATTGACAGCGCGTAATCTGTTTCGGCAGGTATAGATAACGCGCGATGGTCGTAGCCGACACGAGCTCGACGCGCCGCGAAATCTCGACAGCGCCGGGGGCGGGTTTCATCCGATCGCAATATTCGCCCGTCTCTCGTCTCTTTCTTGAGTCCACCAGTAAGCAAATTTACGAACTCCGCTTGTGGACGTTCTTGATCCCTTTTATCGGGGCGACAAATTATCCTCGGAGATATACGACGGCTGCAAATCGAGCAGTTTTGAGCCGTTCTCGCGAGGGGTATGATCCTTTGTTTGTGAATCACCCTCGCCTGGGAGTCATCGTTGATGACACGAACACCGGAACGATATATGAGCCAATTTGCTCCTTGCAAATGAATCATCTTTTTCGGAAAACCTGCTTCTCTGCTTGTCGTTGGATATTTTCATCGATAACTCGTTTCGAGCGATTCTCGAGTGTCCCTTAAAATAGAACCTTCGTTACGAGAAAATTTCGTTTGTTTCAGAGCGAGTAGCAGCGAACGCGAAAGGAGTTGAATCAGCTGTGAAAGAGCCTTGAAAGGGAAATTAAACAAAAGTAAGCATGATTCCCTTCCGTTATACGAGGAATAACAATATTCTCACAATGAACCAGAGGATGTTCTATGAGAAGAACGGATATTTAATGTTCCCTCGCCTCATACCGCAGGACCTGCTCGACAAATGTCACAAAAGGTACCATGTTCGTCTTATATTGCGACAAAAGTGATAGAATCAAGAAAACTTTGCTCGAACGAACCAAATTTTTTCAAACACGACGTTCAGTTCATCGAACAAATTATACAGTCGTCGTAATGAGTTATCAATTGATTCAACGATTGCGATTTGCTCAGCAATTATATCGGCACAACGTATTGTTGCGTCAACGCGTAATTCAGTTCAGTACGCGCGACATTTTCCTGAACGAACGCGGCCGTTGATTTTGTCGATCCGACCATTTTTTCCCCCAGTATATTGTATCAACATATTGTTGCATGCCGGGTTGCAACCGGCTCGAGTTCACACGGCGCACTCACTCTCTCATACGTGTTTTTGCAACGACAATATGTGAGGTAACATCCCGTGCGAGTGTAAATAATCGAGGGCGTGGCCCAAAGTTAAACACTTTGCCTAGTTGAAAATATCCCTTACTGACGCGCAAGAATGAATAATCGGAATTAATAATCTTGCTCGGCGGTCCGCGTTACGATTAGTCTAACTAACGTAATAATGTTACTCGGGCGTTCGATGTTTCGGCAAATTTACCGACTGTTATTAGCGCGCGCGCAAATATCCGTGATCGGCTGTATCGCGGATTTAGATATCTCTCGCATGATATATCTGAAATGTTGTTACACGAAGTAAGTACAGTGCACAGTGCAAACGCCGTGCTTCATTTAATATCGATCGTATATACGCGAATTCGCCCGCGAGAGATGTATCTCTCAATATCTCTCTCGTTTCTGTTTGCCGAAAGGAGCGGAAAAAATCCATTAGAAACTATGCATCCGCGGGAAAAATCCTTTATAAACTACGGACGGCAGGATGCTGAAATTCTATTTCCTCCGGTAGATTTGACGATATCGTCGAGGGCAGGGCTCCACGTGACAGAATCGTGGTGATGCGCGACGTGAAGGACAGGAAAGCGGTAAATAAGTTGCAGGACATCAATTTCGATCCGGTGTTCCGCGAATATATCGAGCACAAGAAGATCCTTGACATAGTCGAATGCTTCACCGGGCCGAATATTCTGGCGATACACAACATGCTGATCGCGAAGCCGCCCGACATTGGATTCGGCACTTCCAAGTAATTATATTAAGAGTCGCCTGATTACCGATACGAGAAGAAGATCGATTACGCCTGTGTGTCCTTGCAGGCATCCGCCACACCAGGACTTGTATTACTTCCCGATCCGTCCGACTGATAGCATAGTGGCCACATGGACAGCCATGGAACCCTGTGACGAGGAAAACGGCTGCCTTTACATCGCACCTGGAACGCACGTTTCAGATCGGTTGTACCCCCATGAGTATCCCCCCGGTGCGTCGAACAAGTTTTACCACGGTATACAGGTGAGAATGCGCATATTTGAAAAAAAGAAACTTGCTGTTATCGTTCTCAATTTTAAATGTATTTTTCTTTTTCGGAGAAAGATTTCACTCGAAGGTACCCAAACAACACGCGTCCCCAAAAGACGTCTCGAAGACTTCCTTTAGACGTCTTATTATCTAAAAGATGTTTTAGGACACCCCAATATATTCCACGAGAGTCTCGCAAGATCAAATTCGTTCCGATCGATTCAAATGTTCACTCGTGCGGATTCAGAATCCACTTCAAGTTTCGCTTAGCTTATATCGCTCCAAGAAATTTCGCCAGTGTATCGTTTAATATTTCTTCAATTGTCAAGGATCTACCGCGCACAATGCACTGGTTAAATCTCGAGATGCAACCCGGTGACACGGTGTTCTTTCACCCGTTGCTTATCCACGGATCCGGCGTAAACAGATCTAATCGAACGAGGCGAGCTATTTCCTGCCATTATGCGACGGTGGATCACACTTACGTACGTAGACGAGACGCATGAGTACGCGATTGCGAGAGAACGGTGAAACGCTTTCGCGAGTATAATGAACATTTCTTTCTTTCCGAATAGGAACTCGATCCGGTTCAGCACAACATCGAGGAGGAGGTATTAGACCACGCGAGGAAAAAGTTTCCCGGCATCGAGATATCGTACCAGGATCTGTGGGCAATAAAGTCCACGCTCGTGCGCGGGATTCGATCGTCTTTGTAAAACTTGCTTCATGCTCGGGGATGTTAAGGGATGTGAAGGGTTGACGCGTGACCAATTTCAGATAAATATTTATCGGGGTAGGGCGCGTGTGATTATAATAGGTGTCGAGTAACGTTAGCGTTGGGATCGGGACGGTAGACGGGACGGTGCGAGGAGCGACATTCGGGAGAGAGGTGGGTAATAAAGAAGCGTCAGCACAGAAGAAAAAGTAACGACAACGGCGGGACTGTCGCCGTTATTATTATTTAACGAGCTAACAACATCGCGACGGTGCCGTGGGTGGGAATTCGACGGCTGCATGGCGTAGCAGTGCTTGGCGAAGGGGTCCTTGTAGGTGTTCTCGTGTCGCACGCTGGCGCTCGACGTGCGACAGGCGGCTAAGCAGATCTGAAAGCGATCCAGATTGCGGATGCGCGTCCTCACCGCGTCCTCCTCCTTCTGCGCCTTCGCGGACACCACGTCCTTCCGTCCTTTTATTTGCTGGGAACAGAATAAAAACACACTGGGTGAGCGAAAATTCGCTGGTCCCTTGTCACCGATACTGTCGGGCATGCGTTCTCTTCAATCGCTTTCTCGTATCTTGTGCGTGCAACCGACCGTTTCTCCCAATGTCGATTGCTTACATCTTAATCTGAGTTGAAAATGTCAAGTTCAATGCTTAATCGACGGGTTGTGGTAGAAAAGCAATCGTTGCGGTCGATAAGCGATCGTTTACCTTGCCTGGATGCAGACAGCAGGAGACACAATATTCGTAAATGGTACAGCATCCTTGAGGATTGCACGTTTTGCAGCTGTATCTTTCCCTCCTGGCCATGATCGGCGTGTCTTCGCTCTTGGGAGTCTGCTTCTGCTCCATTCTGCAACATCCGTTCGGCAGAACTTCGTGCCTGGCGCATACTATGCCTCGCTCGTCCACTATCAGAGCTTTTCCCTGAAGGAAACGGGTATTATGAGAAGATCAAAACGAGACCTGCGATTACTTCAGACTGCTGAGATTTACTTGAATAGAATTGCGGCAGGGTTGAGTGGAGGCGTCGCTCTCATTCAGGTTAGCCGCGTCCACATTCGCCGTGTTGACGGCTCGCTCAAGTAATTCCATCTGCCACAGCGGAGGTTTGCCGGATGTCCTCGACTGTTCTGGAAGTGTGTCGTCGTCGGGCATCAGATCCTCGTTGTTATCATTAATCATCATAGGATCCATATCGTCGAGGTCACTGTCTATGCTCAGCGATCTTTTCTGTAACGCAAATATCACGAGTTCAACATGCAAGAATTGTACTTTCGGAACAACATCGCCGGCGACGAGACAATTCACCTCATTTCGAAGCAAAGAAAAGGCACAGTAGGTCAGTGACAGAGCAAAGATGAGCCCAAGGACAAGACGTCGCCTGATTAGTCTGATCAGGCTCATGTAACTTGGCATCCTCGCGCTCCGCACTGTGCGATCGATGGTAAATCCACAAGGTAGACCTCAATGATTTGTTCGATGAAGCGTCTCATCCGAGCAGATGCAACTTCTATGATCCAAGTTAAGCGAATTCCGACTAATTCACGAGGTGATCGCTATGGTTGTATATTTACCGGCTCCTTAGAACAGTACCGAATCCTCGAGCATAGTATCGATGAGATCACCGGCCGGTAGGAAACACACCGCACACGGTTGCGAGGTTAGAATTCTCGCTCGCGGAGGAAACATCGGAGCACGGTTTCGATGAAAATCCAACATGCGTCGGCGAAGAAGAAGGCAGAATGAGAGAGAGAGAGGTTATAATTTCGTTCCCTCAGATTTGCGGCCGATTGAGCATTATCACGCCGTTGCGTTTCTCGGCCTCTGCACGTCGCCCAGACGCTTGATTATTATTTCGAAATTTCGAGCGCACTACTGCAAATTCCCTCGGCAATTAAACGTGTATTCTTAATTGCGAGCAAATACGCGGTGACAGTTCACGACGGTGTACTCAGGTGCGTTGACCTGCGCGCAGCTAGTGCTTTTGAAGCGCCTTGGCAGATGTCGCTATTCGTACCGTCCAAGTAAGTTCACTGTTTATTGGGATTAATGACACGATGTGAGCAGAGTTATCGATATGATCTTATTCAGATAAGAATTCAGGGCGAAGAGCGACATTCGGGAGAGAGGTGGGTGATAAAAAAACGTCGCCATAGAAGGAAAGGTAACGACAACGGCGGGGCTGCTGCCGTTTATTATTAATAATACCCAACGGAATAATTGTTGTATCGCTCCTGCTGATGGATAATACGAATATTTTACCCATGATATTCGATATTTTTGCGCATAACATATATTTTTATATAGTATATAAATTACATTATAATATATTATGACTTATATCTTGTACGAATATACATGTTAATAGATCTGGTGTTGGAAAAAAAAGCCTCACACGATCGATTCATAATATTCGGATGAGAAAAAATATCCGGAGGGGAAAGTTTTCTAAAATTGCGAAAATATAAAATTGCTAGAGGAAGATTTATAATCAATCGCTCTCATCCCGAATCTCCCGAAACAAACCGAACGATCCAGTGCGATAAATCAGTCGAACATCATTCCAGACCATTCTTTGTTTTTGATGGCCGCTGCTGCTGTTGGTGATTTTGTGGCCGAGATTTTTGCCGTGACGAGGTCGCGTTTCATTAACGATAAGATCGTAACGAAGGTAGAAGATAGTTGGAGAGACGACCCGCTCGAGCACGAATGCCGGTCTCTTAGAGGGAGATAAAATCGGCGTCGTAATAATGGCTTTCGGACTGATTCAATGGTTCATGTCATTTGCGATATTTTTCGTCGTTCTGTCTGTTATCACCTGGTCCGCTTTGCACCTGGGTCAGAAGGATCACGAGTTCGTCGTCCAGAGATTCCTCGATACGGACGACTATCCGATTCAAAGAGAGGAGTACGTACGTTTTCCTTCCAAGAATTGCCTGCACCCGCGTTTCTCATTCGACCTCATTCATTATCGTTCCAGTAGACCGTTCGGCACCGCGATTGTTAAACAAAACTCAACGTTGCCGGTGACGGAGAGCAACAATGACACGACGCCATTCGCGGATCACCAGGGCCTCCAAATGGCGAATAGCTCAGAATTTTATAAAATACTGCGAGCTATCTCTTCGGCTCAGGAACGTGCGGTTAATAGTACGGAAGACGATGCTGTTGATAGCGCTACAACAGCGATACTTACGTCTCCTGTCGTCGGTAATGATTCATCACGGGATCAAGATGCTGCGGCTACTGCGTACATGTCCGGTGAATCTACCGCGCTAAATAATCGCTGGAACGTCGTCGAAGAAGCGATAAAATCGTAGGTGAAAGAAATGTCCTCGCTTTTTTCTACAGGGTGTCCTAATTATCTTGGCGTCCGTAGGTGTGCAGGGTAGAACAGGAAAATCATGTATCATTTCGCAAAAAATCGCAATAATTAACGGGGAATTAACTTGTCATCCTCAGGAGTAAACAATTTTTCTTCATACAAAGTCCGACCTCGGACTTGGACGATTATTAAAGAATCGAAAGAAATATTCAGCACTACTAATAATATTTAGTGAGTTGTTCCCGGTCGTCTTCTCACAATTTCTAGTCGCAGACGGTGCAGGAAGCAGGTAAAAAAAGAGACCCTACGTTGGGATTAAAATCACAAAACCTATGATATTTTAAGGGCCGCGGGTCGAATTTTACCATCTGTACGCCACATTTTGAATATTTGACAATTTTTGTATTTTTTACGTCTTCGACAAATCATACGATCAGGTTCGATGTTTTCTTTTTACCTGTACCAGATAATTCGCGATAACACGATATCCTATACTCGCGCGCGACAAGTTTGAACGATTTGCGTACCGTCGAATGCGAGTATCGAAACGCTACTCATGTCCCTTTTGTCCTTTTGCCTGCTGGGTCTCCAGCGATGTCCCTCGGAGTATCCTTTCTTGCCCGAGGATGCTTCCTTGAGCCCTTCCTCGGCTTTTCCCTCGACAGTCACCGGCTTGCACGTGCGTGCTTCTCCACAGGCGACAAACGACGCGCTCGGCGATGCTCCCGCGTAGTCAATTAACGCGCGCTGCTTCGTCTTCACGAGCGTGCGCCGGATTCGCTGCTTCCTCCCGGGACGTCGTGGCCTGGCCGAATCCTGTTTACCTCGGCTCACCCATGGCTTTCGTCTTCCGTAAGCCCGGTGAGGCGCCAAATACAAAAATTAAGTCTTAAAATTAATTCGGAACATGCCAAGTCGGACCTCCTCTAAGAGATCGGTAGGCGACGTTTTCCGGTGTTCCCGTCCGCGGCAAAAGTTCTGCGGTTTGTGACGCGCGGAGAAGCGGTAGCTTCGTCACAACATATATTAACAATGTAAAATGAATTACGGTACTCAGTACTGTTTATGAATTTCATGCCAACAGGTAAGGCAGGTGAATGTAATTAGTTTTTCCAACTGTAGAACAAGCATGAATAGAGTAAATCTAAACGACTTCGATGAATTTGCGTTACGAATCTTAGGAGTTCCGGAACAAAGCAACAGTAGTTATAAATGACCGATTAAGAATTTCAGTGCGACACCGCAGGACGATAAGTAGATTATTCTAGTGCATCTGCTGGACACGTCAAATCGAAGGGACGAAAGTTCGCAAATTTAACTAGTTAAGTGTGTTTGACGACTATATCCGTCATGGAGATGTGGCAGAATCTTGTGTCATGACGACTATATCCGTCATGCGTAAAATTTTGTTACAATTTGATATTTAATTGTAATTCTGGCGAAAACTAAATTATATTCGTAAATTTTAATATGGGTAAAATGTTTAGAGGTCAAGACGAAATGAAACAAACAAATGAAAATTATAAATAATTTGGATTTATAACTTCCTGAGAGCTAACTCGCTTGATTATCGCGACGCACACTGGTGGGCGCTTTGCAAAGAGATCGCCACAGTTAACTGGTTAAACAGGATATTGATTACATATGATTTGAAAAATAAGACAGGTCACAAAGTAGAGAGCCCACAAAGAAAATGCAGAGAGAGAAAGAGAGAGGGAGGGAGAGAGAGAGAGAGAAAGAACGAGTTGGCAGGGGGAAGAGAGGAAGAGAGGGAATTCTCCCTCTCCTCACAAAGAGGAATATCTTTGTGAAGACTGGCGCCGCCCAATGGTTTAACTCGAGCTATGAGAGCCAGTCTGGATCTTTTTCAATTCCTTCGCACCGTTGCCATAACCTAACTTTCGTGTGGAATGTTGACTGTACTAAAAGGGACAGGCACGGGCGCGGAGTCAGAAGTACCTTGCGAACGGAGGCAGACCAAGACGAAAGAGAGGAAATTTTGCTGCGTTTTTTTGCATCGTATAACGCACAGCAGGCACAGACAATTAAATTTGATACTGTCATGGATTGAGAAGAGGAACTACCCGTTGCTACCATTGTTGCCGGTTGATGGTTACATTTGCCGATGGTGCGGCAAGAATTTTTTCAAGGTATCGATTTGATGAAACATGTCACGTTTCTCTCCGTAACGATGCACCGTGGTAATGAAGAAATCTCATTACAAAGTGAAACCGGTTTTCTCGACCCTTAACCCGACTCCTTTGGATTGCAAAGGAACTGTGTCGGTAATGAACAAAAATAACGAAGAAATTGGAGGGATATAGACAAGCAGCCAGATTTGCGGGAATAGATTTACACAGTGTTTGTTATAAGGTCTGTTCGTTTTCGCTGCACCGCTGAACTGAAGTGCAATAAGTTGAAGCGAGACAAGTATATTTTTTCTAGTTAAGCGGTGCAGCGAAAACGAACAGACCTATAAATTTTTATCAACTCTGCTGGCCGAAAGAAATATAATAGAGTCTGCCAACAGAATATGACTGTAGAAATGAGATCTGTCTTTCCGTACGTATTGAGTTGTATAATAAGTATTTTTACATTTTTCCGGTGAAACGAAACGATTGATTTGTCATATCATTACAATTCTACGAAACAATGTACGCGCCGTTCTGATCTATGATCTTCCGTCATGAAATTATAACGTCATCTGTCGTAAAATTATAACGACGTAAAAATATGTAAGCGCTTATTTTGCCTGTAAGATCCGAAATTGTTTATTACATAATTCAATATGTTAAAATTAAAACAGCGGCAATTTGAATTCCTCTTAGAATTGCGAATGGATTCTTGACTTACCTTTTTTTTTAATTATCCGTGAATGTTTTAACTTTACTGTTTGATTGTTTTATTTTGTCGCTTAATTATTTTATTGTGTTTGTATTTTGTTGTATTGTTTAATTGTTTTATGATGAAGAAGATGAAAATTCAAAGAAATGAGAAAAATAGAATCTACAAAAGCAATTCAATAAATAAAATTCACGAATTCATGCATATATTCCTCAGCACGTTTTGATGACTCCCTATATTGGCTATATATTTAATTTCTTATATACAATTGGTTACATTTTATATGTGTAAACTGGGACGCAGCAATACAGTGCGATATTATAGGTTCGATTGATCTGATACGGGAAACAACATGTTAACTATATCGAGAGAACGATAAGTTTCATTTTTGAGTTGTAATACATTGTGCTTCTGAATATTGTGCAACAAACAATAGTAAAAAGCGAATGTAAATACGGACAAGAGGTCATTTTATTATTTGTCAATGTAACAAATCGTGTTTTACGCCAAATACCAATAGGTAATCAATACATACGTAAACAGAGAATGCAATATCGTCCGGCGAATAATACAATATCGTTGTCCAGTTACGATCAAATATTTGCGTACTTAACGCGATATTAATATTTTCTCTTCTTGATATATGAGAAATTAAATAAGCGAGTGAATTTTTCACAAGCAGTTACGATTAAAACGTAGAAGGAGATATCGAAGATACCGAAATACAATATGCGAATTAACACACTCGTATGCGAAATATTTGTTACGACGTTATTAAATAAAGTAAACTGAGTTATAAGCCTCATATTATCGGTTACTATCAACTGACGAAATTTATTATTAAAAAACCGAGCACACGTGCAGCAGTTTCTTTTTTTTTTGTTGGATTACATTATACCAGTATTACACTGTACCAGATATTTCATTTTATGTCTAAATATTTAATATTAACCATATTCGAAAGACTACGAGTTCCGCGGTTCTGTTTAAATTTTAGAAAGGTTTCCGGAAACTCGGGCGATGTGATAGAAGCATATTTTCCGAAGGTATTTTAACGATAAAAGTGAAAGTAACAAACAAAAATTTATTTAATTAGCCCGTTATCGAGTTATCGGCGATGATGAAGGAATTCACAGATGCATATCTTGAAATTTAAATACCTTAACGTGGTTATAATTTAGTGCTATTATTAATTTAACGCGTCACGTATATCACTAATGTTTTATCCGTAACAATTAGATGCATTGTATAGTAGACACAAGCAGCATAAGCGCGAGTATCTGT